TTTTCAAGTGCACGCACGGTGGAGGGAAGTGAAATCGGAACCACACAGACAACAAATAAACAAGAAGAGACAGTAATACCTCCTGGAGTATATTTAGACTTCCTGTATCAGATCAAACTGACATCTCCTTGGAAAATGAATTAGGCGCAGTTGAGCTCTCGAGTGGTTTTGAAAGTTTGCTCCTCTGAATCTAAACCTCTTATTATCAAGCAGTACGTCATTGATAGTATGCTGATGAGTGCTGTTTGAGAAGACTGAATATACTGCACTCCGTGGTAATACAGTGGCTAATTTAACTATTTTTATTGACTGAGGCAACAAGCAAAAATAGTGCTGCTGTAATGCCGGCCAATGTAATAATGCCGGCCAATGTAATGAGGCCTGCCAAACGGCACATATTACAGACACACTTCCCTATCTGATGGATTGCTTTGTTTTCATTGCTCCGCCAGCTAATGAAAATGAACGAGACCCTCTTGTTGCGGTTTCACACGGCAGTTGCATTAATCGCATGCATATTTTTCCATCTTTCCTTCCCGGGCCATTTTGTTTCTCATCCATGATGTCTATACAGTGATGAGCGTCCTTTAAGTGATGGATGACCAGCGAGACACCAACACACACGGCGGCCTGTTTACACGCTCAGATTGAACGCTTGTCTTTCCCTCCTATTTTGGATTCCTCCCCAAACCGTTAGCCAGAGCTTGTTCTATTGTTCCCATCTGTCTGCTACTCACATCACCGCTGAAGAGACGGAGATGTCGTATTTGTCCTCTGGGTGCCATCAGCATGTCTATTGTCTCCGTATTAATGAAAACCAGGTGATGTGACATAGGCAGCTCTTCACTCTGATTGGTCAAGCCTGCGGCACAGAGACACTGCACTGCATTGCAGGAGCCCAAAACCAGAGTAAATGGCCTGCACAGCTAGTCATTTTCTCGAAAGAGTTTTCCTCGTTTCACAAAAATACTTGCAAAAAAGAAACACGTTCCTATCACCAATGAGCTGCATATTTTTGCATTAAGATGAGCGATTTAGCAGGTAAATGTTTTTAGCCTGAGCAAATGAAGCACTGGGACTCTCCAAGGGAGCTTGGGAGACAAAGCTGGGTTTGTAAATGAGGTTTATTGACGTTGTCTATAAATAAACCTAGTAGGGGGGGGGGGACTACGGCAACATTAGATGTGTGGATTTCTGCTAATGAAGCTGCTCGACAGCTCTAATTAGCATCAGCCTTCATGTGCTTTGTTTATAACGATTAGAAATTCAACATTAAAGTCATTTACATCTCTCCAAATGTCATGCATTTCACCACATCGGCCGCAGTGTGAATATAATTTGAGAGCCTGTGACATTACATTCGATATGAAAATCATTTTCATGCTCTAAAACGATCAAATGAAAACATTTGCGCTGGTGGTGGTACATGGCATCCATCATCATTCTGAAGGTGATTTTATTAAAGCTCCCACTGGAGAACATTGCAGCTTGTCTGCATGATGCTAATGAGGCTCATCTAGAACTGAGAGCACTGCACACTATATACTGTACTGCTGTTTATAACAGTACATTACAGTCAGGTAGAGAAGCAGACAGCAGTTCCCACTCCACTCTAGTTCTCCACAGATCTTTCCTCTAGATGTCAGTCACTTCTTTCCTAAAATTCAAACAGTCTGTGCAAAGCGTCCCACCGAGCAAACCTGGAAATACAAGTCTGTTTGGCACAGCTCCGCAGTGTGATGGAACATGCCATGCTAAACTTTACAGGTGTAGAATGAAAACTAGCACGGGAAAGTATGTCAAAAAAAAAAAAGAATACTGCCTGAAAGTTTTGAAGTTTGATGGTTATATGGATCTGGTGGTGAAGAACGAACACATAAACAGACAGACAGATCATAAGCATATTCTGGATGGTTGCTAAGGTGCTTCCAAGTGGTTTCCAAGGTGTTCTGAGTGGCTGCCAGCCAGTTGCTAGGATGTTATGGGTGGTTTCTATAGGGTGTGGCAATGCATGTAATAAGGTTGACATTAAAAGTGCATTTAGCACTTTTTTAGCTAGCGTTAGCATCGCTGTTCTTCGTCCCTGTTGAAAAAACCAGCATATGCTGGTTAGGTATGTTTTGAAGCTGGGATGCTGGTTTGAGCTGGTTTATGCTGGTCCTTTGCTGGTTTATGCTGGTCCTTAGCTGGTCATGTGCTGGTCCTAAACTGGTCCGACCAGCTTAAGACCGGCACATGACCAGCATAAACCAGCAAAGGACCAGCATAAACCAGCAAAGGACCAGCTTAAACCAGCAAAGGACCAGCTTAAACCAGCAAAGGACCAGCTCAAACCAGCATCCCAGCTTCAAAACATACCTGGTTTTTTCAACAGGGGTGTACTTTAAGTACCCATATCACATTGATGTTATTGTGTTTTTATTAAACTTTTTGTAAAACTAATACTGGTTAGTTTTAGGGAACGATCTACACAATAAATTATTCCCTTACCTGTCCAACAAAAAAGAAGCAACTTGGAGAAAAAAAAAAAAAAACTTAAAAAAAGAGAGGGGTAACCCGCACCTTATATAATAAGGTTAATACAAATACTTAATACAAAACTATTATGAGTATAGTGCACCAATTATATGACTATTTACAAACAATGCAAAAAGGTCCATTGTCAGTTGTTATCGATTTATGAAGCTCAGCTCACACTTGTGATTTTTTGTTAAAGCTTTAACTTGTCTTGAAAAAAGCAGTTAGTTAGTTGATAAATGGGACTAGGTTGCCGGGAACATTAAATGTCTGAATGCCGAACAGGTAAACTTATCTACTCAGAAGTCTATGTTTACAGCCTCACTGCGTTTATAATCATAATATAATATAAACTGCTCAGACTTTCAGCTAAAATGTTCTCAGAAGCTTAATGAAGGTGTTGAAGTCATGTGACCGTGGTGTAGTTCACTTACAGCCTACGTTTATATTTTTTCTTCTGGTGATTGTATTTATTGTATCTTATAATCCAAAAGTCAATGGAAAAATCCTACTGGTTTTTGTAGAGGGAACCAGTGTTGGCCCAAAAAAAGTAATCACTGAAGTACTCAATTTCAGTAGCACCGAACTACTGAATGCACATTTAAAAGCTCTTAAGAGTTGTTAATATAAAAAAAAAGTTTGGGTCTCAAAAGCAGGAAAATATGCTTAAATATGAGCCAACATAATGAGGTCATGGTACAGTATGCTTAAAACTGTCTTTAATTTTTTTATCGTATACATAAATTCTGGGCAAGTTATAGTGTGATATATGGAGCTATTTACAAAAGATTCACTTAAGTGATTTCCAACTTCTTGAATCAAGTAACTGAAAACATAACACAGTTGAAATTACATCCTTTTCTGCAGATGAATGAAAAAAATGAACAGAACCAAAGCATCAAAGAGCCTTTAAAGAATGTGGCTGGCAGCTGGTTGGCTGTCATAAAATGGATATGAAACATCACATGAAGTCTCATTCACGCAGGCCAGTAATGACTGGAAATAACACTTTTGACATCTTACAACCCTTGAACAATACTGAGAAGAATTTTTTTTTTTTTAAATGTTGATGAGTGTGAAAGTTGGCACGTGGACACGATAGGCCTTCACATGTTTCAAATGTACAAGCTGTTAATATGAGTTTTATGAGGGATTTTGTTTTCGCTTACATCATCTGCTCCTCTGGACAGTGCATTACACACGGCTGTAATGAAGCCCTGCATGGATTAGTTGGGCGGTTTTTTTAATTTTTACACTGTTTAATGGAAATCCACCGACAGAGAAAAACCTGCGGAGAACAGGCTTGCTCAGGAACTCCATGCTGCTTTCACAGTAAGCAGAGGCCGAAAATAGCCGCAGTCACAAGGGGGTCAGAGCAACACCATCTTACGACAGAGTGGCCTGACCGCAATGCAACTTCAGCCAGAATCAGGGCTTTTACCCCTGTTATACATGAAGTCAGGACAATGACAGGTTTAGTGTCACAGTGTGGGACAGCATTCCCAGTTGTCTGTCCCGGCAAGCAGCACACTAGCTTCTGATCAATTTTAACAGCCCCTAAGAAGGGTCAGGCAAAAAGCAGGCTGTGGCAGTAAATAAAGCCAGCTACAGAAGCGAGGCCAGAGCAGGGCAACACTCAAAGTGGCAAGTATTTCATTAGCGTGCCAAACACCTCACTGGGTTTTATTTGTAGGCTCAAGCTTTCACCTACAGAGATCTCATTGCTGCAATAATCAAATAGAGCATTTGGAAACTGAACTGGGTCGATCCAGTCTTTCCATGACATACGACTCGCATTCATTCTGCACCGGTCTGGCTTAATTTTCAAGTTAGTCCATCTGGAACAACGAACGATCCAAGATAACGTCCTGTTTTGCAGCAGAAAATCAGTGGCTGGGTCTCGTAAGAAGCAAGTGGAAAACTTACATGTTATATAGACAATCTTTGTGAAGAAAGTACACTTTAGCATACTCTTAAAAAGAGTATTTATTATGGAAATAATACAATTTAAAAGAATATACATAAGTGTGAACTCAATGTAATGTTTTCAGACACTTAATTGCATGTTGTCTGCAAATAAACAATGAATTATAGTTTACATTTATATTAAATGCAATTAATTGAACTTAAGGTCATTCTTTCCAAAATGTGTACTACCGCATTTACTGATAAACATTAAAATAAAATGTCATTTCTATTGAAATATGTTTGTAATTACACATTTGTAATGATAAAGTTGCAATTTAGCATGTTTAAATGTAATTAATTACAATTTTAACTGTAGTGTGTTTTTCAATATTACTTTACATGTGCTTTAGTATCATCAAAATAATTGTAGCAGCAACTACATTTTTTTTACGTTTTTTAAGTAGGTGATTATAACTTTTATTTTATTTTTTACAGTGAAATACATGTAATTTGTAACAAGGACACATTAAAACAAAGTGGTAGTTATTTCTGCATAAAATGTTATTAAACATTCATTACAACCATATCTGTTTTCCATTACAATGACTGGACACCTCTCACATTTAAAATGAGATCATATGACAGTAACAAAGCATAAAACAGTTTGATATGTTTATGATGTAATAATGCCTTCATTTTACAAGCTATTTTTGAAATAGACAGTAGGCACAAGCTAATACTCTATTCTGAATGTAGCTCGACATTGCTCTCGAGGAAATGAAATATAAAATGCATCCTAGAAGCAATTTCTTTCACTGCTGCTTGCTTTTTATTCCTTTTGTAATAATGTGTTGCTGGTTTGTGCAGCTTGTTTTGTGCTATCCTGTCTTTGGCATTAATCTCAGCCTGACAAACGGCAAATCAGCAGTCCAAGTCATGGTGTACAGAATGTCTGTCCAATCCCAGCCGCTCCGTTCCTGCATGGATCCGTCAGACCAGACAGGCATCAGTCAGAGCACAGCTGGAGGAAAATGGTAGCGTACAAACAAATACAAAAATACTCACAATGAGTCATTCCAGATTTGTAAAACAGTTTATTCAGCATGCTAAAATAATTTAACACCTAGATAGTCTGGTCCCTGCGGATTAGGGGAAATACTCTGGGCTGTTTAGACCACTGGAAATGATATATCCACCAGATTTTTCAGCAGACGTTAAACATTACAGAAGTCACCTCAATAAATAATAAAGATTACTGTGAGATATTTCACATGGACAGCGTGAAGATCCTTTAACGTGAAGGATCAACCTTTGCCGACTTGCATTACAGTGGCAGCGAGGAACAGTGACAGATAGAACGGAGCGCAATATGCTAAGAGTCGGCTGATTTATGTCAGAAAAACATGGAGGAGAACAATGACTTGTGGAGGCTCATGGGTGAGTTGGCGGCACTGAAGTAGATGTAACTCTCTGTTGGGGTAGCGCGGGCAGCTGGGTCAGCACCGAGGGCCAGAGTCAAGCAGATCTTTTGCTTCATTGATATTTGCTGCCAAATACGGGGATCCACCTGCAAGAGAAGCAGCGGTTTACGTTAGTATGATCATGAATTGTCTCCACTTTCTCATCTTACTCTTTAAAATCTGTAAAAGGTGCATTCCTGTAATAATCCTATCCTTAGTATTTATTCCCTGCAATAACCCTATCCTTAGTATTTATTTTATTTTATCATATTACTATCTAAATGCCTTTTATTGTGTACGGTTCATTAGCGCACATCATTCCAAATAATAATGTAAAAAATGTTAACCATTCATTTCAATGTTTTGGTACAAAGCATGTGGGGCTGGTAAGAATTTTTGGTTATGAATGTTTTTGAAAGAAGTCTCTTATGCTCACCAAGACTGCATTTATTTGGTAAAAAATAAAGTAAATATTGTGAAATATTATTACACTTTTAAAAATCTATTTTCTATTTGAATATATTTTCAAATGTAATTTACTGCTGTGATGCAACGCTGATTTTCAGCATCATTACTCCAGTCTTCAGTGTCACATGATCCTGCAGAAATCAGTCTAATATGCTGATTTGCTGCTCAAGAAACGTTTCTGATTATTATTATCAATGTTGAAAACAGTTGTGCTGCTTAATATTTTGGTGAAAGCTGTGATACATTTTTTTCAGGATCTTTGATGAATAGAAAGAACAGCATTTATTCGAAATAGAAATCTTTTGTAACATTATAAATGTTTTTACTGTCACTTTTGATAAATTTAACGCAACCTTGCTGAATAAAAGCATTAATTTCTTGAAATTGTACTGACACCAAAACGTTTGAACAGTAGTGTTACCCCCACTGTCACAATCCAGTCAATTCAGGATGGATAAAATGAAGAGACACCCTACATTTTCATCCTCATTTAATATCCCAGTTCACTCAGAAATATCATTGCAGAAATCAAATGTGTCGCAAACTGTTTCTCACATTGACTTTAAAGCCACTTTGAAATTAAATTGAGCAACATAATTCATTTGCTTTTCCGAGTCCACAGGCTCAATTCTATCTTGATGTGTGCTGCCCGCATTACAGCTCTACATGCACAAGCTTTGTAGCAAAGAAATCTCTTTGCCTCCAATCAGTGACTTCCAGCCCCCGTCCATGCCGTATAATGGAAGCGTGTGGCTAGGAGGGGGTAAAAATGTGCTATAGCTGGCAGGGTGCGATGAGGCACACCTGGTGCCTGCTGCGCCTCATCATGCTGCTATAAATTTCCATTGCATCTTTGGTTCGGTGAAGCACATTCCACGAGTGCAAGCGTACGTGAGGCGCCCTAGGGGTCCAGAACACAGTCACAAAGCCAGAGCAGACTTTACCTGATGACAGCTCGACCCTCACATCTGTATCCATCGCTTCCCCCTCATCTTCACAAGTCCTTCAGCACATTTATTTACCTCTCTCTTACTTCGTAACATTTTGTGAAATAAAAATTGCAACCACTGTTTTTCTTTACTGTCTACAACCACTTCTATTTATTGATTGTTGATGCAGCCACACAGTGCAGTGCAAAAATTATATTATATATATACACACACACACACACACACACACACACACAAACACAAACACACATACAGTTGTTATAGAAAAGAATCAACCCCTTTAAAATTAACCATATTTTGTTGCTTTGCAGCCTGTAATGAAGACGGACACAGTTTTTGTTTTATCCAGCTGTATTTACTCAGTGCAACTTATAACATCCAAGTGAAAGATTTAACACCAGCATTTCAGAAAAAAAAAAAAAAAAAAAAAACAAATAGGTTGGAAATACTCATGGTTAAATCTTCAAAGAGTTTAATGTGTTGTATCACAAGATAACATTTGATATAACATCCTGTTATGTGGTGTTTCTCTGCAGCAGGGACTGGAGCACTTGTCAGGATAGAAGGAAAAATTGACAGGGCAAAATACCCTCAAATTCTTGAGGAAAATCTGCTGCCCTCTGCCAGAATTATTATTATCCTTTATTTTACCAGGAATTATAACACTCTGCATTTCATTCTATAGCCTAGGACCGTAGGAGGAAAAGGCAGTTTTGCCAAATTCAGAGCGTACTCTAGGAACAGTCAAATGTAATTTGTAAGAGTTTCTAGTGCTATAATTACAAGTATAATATGATAAAAGATTACAAATATAAGTTGGCAGTTTACCTAATAATGCCTTGGCAGTAAATAATAACATATGCATTTTTCTCCTTTGGTACAAGGATGACCAACCAACTATTTTATACAAAGTACAGTGATGGGAACGTGAAGATGTATTGGTCACAAATCGTATTGCAGCATGATATATACTATCCATCTTCCTTAGTAAGGACAAGTTTGCATGCATATAAACCACATCATCATAGTCCAACACTGAAAGGAAACAACTTTGGATAATAATTTTTTTGCTTAAAAAGGAAAGCACTTCTTAATACGAAAAAGAAAACCCAATTTAGGTCTGAGATTTTTTTTTTTTTAAGATTTTCAATATGAATATTAAAACCCAACCGTTCATCAAGCCATAAGCCCAAGTATTTATAACTATTTACTCTTTCAATACAGTTCCCTTCCAAGGTTAGAATAGGTGGAACCGTTATTTT